ACATGACATTTGGAACATGAACATTTGGAACATTTGCAACATGACATTTGGAACATGAACATTTGGAACATTTGCAACATGACATTTGGAAGCGTTAATATTAAAAAGAAAAAATTTATATATTCTAATAGCTTCTTATTTCAATTTTTCGATTATCATAAGATCATTTCCGAAGCAAAATGTTAAGTTTTACATATTTATAACGTGGGTAATTAATGATAAAAAAAATAACCCAAACGACGTTTTATCTTCGCGTCTTTTTTTTTCGAAATTTCAATTACAAAAAAAATTCCAAAAAACTTTTTAACGCGATGATTTTGGGTATCAAAAGTCTCAGAAATATTTCAAATAGTTGCTAGCTTGCAGCTTAATTTTATTAACTGGAGAACTGTTTGTTCGTTCCTTTATTGAATTCCACGCAAAGATGCTGCCTTCGTTATAATGTGACGGTCAATCCCACTATTTGTTTAACATACTGTTTCATAAAACACACATATAAAAGTGAGTATGTTTGGGTTCTAACATTGAAGATATGGAGGATTAGACGAACAGCTGTAATACGCATTGATCCAGTTTATGTTCTATGTCTAATACCATACCATGTAATATAAGATATATAAAAACCTATGAGTGAAAGTGAAGAAGAATGTATAACAATATGTCAACCACACTACATCTGGTATATCCAGCGCCGACGAGGACTTTCGCCAATACCAGAACTCATCAGGCCAGCTGGTAATACTACAGACATTGTTTGTAGACAAGACACGGAGCTCTAGTTTAACGTAAGAATATATATATATATATATATATTACTATAGAGATACGTCATAATCTATCCACGATTCCTTTCGTAAGTCTGGGGGCTTATAACGCTAAACATCAGGGTTAGATATCTGCAGTGGGCAAAGTACAAATAGCCGAGAAAAATACAAATTTCTAAATGATACAGGAAGATACGAAGTAACTGAAACTTCAACAGACTCGACATAGTTCATATTGTTCTATTTTAGAAATAGTAGAAACTACAAAACCAATGTCCAATATATATCATTCACAAATCGATAAGTGTACTTCAATGACTGGACTGTCTCATATTCTATTACAGTATTTTCTATTTTAGCCGTATAGAAGCAGTATCTCGATCATTACCTGTACCAGGATGCCGAGAGTTTTCTTGGAATCCGCCATATTTCCATAAACAGGTGCGCCAGCTGTCGGACAATGCTAGAAATTCCCCAGAAAAGTCTGTTTTTATCTCGTGTGAAATCTAGCTGTAAAGAAGTTTACAGGGGGTGAAAAACTGTATTTGTTGTGGTACGAAACACGAGGAGTCATGTGGGGGGGTGGGATTTGCTTGATAAACGCACTTTATTTTAAACCAATTATTTTATAGCCCATTTTTGTCTTGAAATTTATACAATTACAATCTAGTGGTTTGGTTTACTGCTAATGTGATCAGGTGATGTAAATTTAAAAGAAAATAAAAATCGTTATTTGTTTATTTATTAGTAATTAAGCACAAAACTACACAATGGGCTATCTGTGCTCTTTTGATTAAATGTTTTATAGTTTTTCGTCCTTTTTAGAACAATAAGAACTTCAGGTTCCTAATTTAAATTACCTGCATAGGTGACATCTGGTGGCGATACAAAGAACTAAATTTAAGCTATATAAAAAAAAAAAACTTGTTGGCACTATTCTTCTAAGTTCATAGTTATAAAATTAGCTATCTGCACTCTAGCCATCGCAGGGAATCGAATCCAAGATTTCAGAGTTGTAAATCCGTAAACTTACCGCCAACTCATCGGGAGACCTCAATACAAAGCTATTAATTCTGTAGATTTGTGAATAGCATAGTTAGTGGGTTAAAGATATATTCCTCAATGGATTCCTATCATCGAATATACTCGCCCTTTTAGCCGTAGGGGCGTTATAATGTGACGGTCAATCCCACTAGTTGTTTATAAAAAGTAGCCCAAAAGTTGGCAGTGGGTGGTGTCGACAGGCTTCAAAACACGAGTCCTCGAATTCACAGTTCTGGCACACTAAATACTAGGCCACACCCGGTCCATACTTGGTAATAAAGTTGTTTTTTTTTATTATTAATTACAAATTCAGCTTCTGAAACACGACTTCCTATGTTAATTCAGATAATACAGAAAGTAAACATGCCACTAAAGGTTTCTTATTGGTTCGCTTGATACCAGAACTCATCACGATGTCTGGGAATGCTATTATGTTCTTCTTACCGAGAAACCGTACAGGACTATTAAAGAACGATTTGTTAAAAATTATTATCAGTCTTACTGTGATGTAATATCACGCACACTACTAAAATATAGGTCACGCTCTGCCCGTTTAAAGTGTTATATAACTTATAGGTAGGGTTGTATTTCTTGTGTTGTTGAAAGACCCCGCTGGCAACGGCGTGTAGTACCACACCAGTTTTAAGGTCGAGATAAATAATCTACAGGACTAGAAAAAAAAATTTTATTGTTCTTTTATTCTATTTTCGCACAGAGATAATCGAGGGCTATCTGTTCTAGCCGTCTCTAATCTTGAAGCGGTAGGCTAGTGGAATGGTAGCTAGTCAACACTGCCCTCCGCCAATCTTAGGCAATTTTTTCTTTTATTTTATAGTGAATAGCGACAGTCATGTAATGACACCCCTATAACTGAAAGGTCATGCATGTTCGGCAACGGGTTTCGATCCCACGACCTACATATTGCCAGTTAAGCGTTATAAGTACCAAGTTATGCCACGCCCCTTAAAAATATTGTTTTGTTTTTTTGTGAAGTACTACAAACTACAAATTGATTTGTTTATTTCAGAATTTCGCGCAAAAATAACACCAGAGCTATCATGGCCGTCCCTAATTTTGAACTGATAGACTAGAGTGAGGTTAGCTATTTAATAACACCCAACTATTGGGCTACTCTAGTCGAAAAGTTAG